CGTTCGAAGTATTGAAAAAATCACGAAGCGAGAACTTTCCGGATTTTTTTTTACTACGTAACAGTGATATTTTTAAGAAAAACGCTGTTCACCTTTACTTTAGAACGTCTGAAGAATATTTATTAATTTTTCGGACCCGAAATAGTAAGTAATTTAACCGTGACGGCCGTTTTAATTTTCTAGTGTGCATGACACCTTGTGTGTAACATATGAAATTTGTAAGCAAGTTGTACAGTGAAGATTAACAAAGTACGTAAATGATACTTTAATTTAAATAATTCCATGTCTGAACACAGTTCAACGAATGATTCGCAAAGCTAATTTAATAAATAATAATCGTGTTAAAGGACGTAAGGGATATGTTTGTTAGAAATATGAAGAATATTATCAATAAGATACTCACCTATTTAGTTGTAAAATCCACTTCATGTATCCGACGGCGACGAACAGAAGGATGTCTCTGGGCAGGCAATTTCAACGTTTACTTTCACTGCATTATCACTAAACACTGATCACTTATCAATAATATTTATGGACCAACATTCCTGGGTTAATATGTATGGCTCTGAAAAGAGCCGATTGTTTTATGCGACGCGTTCGAAGTTCATATCGTCACATACCGCGTTGACGGGATGAACTGCGGAAGACTAGCACGATGGTTGACAATGTTCGCGTTCGATGGGAAACAGTTGAAATTCGCTCGTNTTTATCACAACTACCGCGTTTGACGGGATGAACTGCGGAAGACTAGCACGATGGTTGACAATGTTCGCGTTCGATGGGAAACAGTTGAAATTCGCTCGTCTGAAAACGGAACACTGTCGGCCATCATGCCAGTCTTCTGCAGTTTGTTTCCACAACGTGGTACATACGTGTCGTTAACAGTGAGAACTTCGAACACGGAATTATTTAAATTAAAATATCATTTACGGAATTATTTAAATTAAAGTATCATTTACGTACTTTGTTAATCTTCACTTACACCTTGCTTACAAATTTCATATGTTACACACAAGGTGTTATGCACACTAGAAAATTAAAACGGCCGTCACGGTTAAATTACTTACTATTTCGGGTCCGAAAAATTAGTAAATATTCTTCAGACGTTCTAAAGTAAAGATGAACAGCGTTTTTCTTAAAAATATCACTGTTACGTAGTAAAAAAAAATCCGGAAAGTTCTCGCTTCGTGATTTTTTCAATACTTCGAACGCGGCTCGAGTCCGTCCCCCGACCATCTGTCAAAGCCTCGTGCTGCGGGCTCTCGAACTTCGCGCCGTCACCTCTCATTGGTCAGTGTTTTCCGTTTATAACTCGTAAACAAAGCCGCAGATTGCATTTTCGCAAAGGAAAAAGTTACTTCAAATGACCTCAGCTACCCCTCATTTTCGGCTATTAAAATAATTGTGGAACACCCTGTATATTTGATATATTAAAGATCAATATATAATATTGATCTTTGTGTTGTACACATATATTGATTTGAATTCTTGTAGGTACGCAATGGCAAAACGTTGAGCCGCCATCAGGTGCTCACCTAAAACAAATATCTGTAGGAAGAAATGTAGTGTGGGCGTTGGACACCAATGGTAGATTATCCGTGCGTCGTGATGTGCAACCGAACGTTTTCCCAGAGGGAACCTACTGGCAAACTTTGCCTGCGATGCCGAATGATCCTATTCATATAGGTATTTAACAAATTCGTCACAAAACACACCAGCGTTTCCCAATTTCGTAGAATCCAAGTATTACCCTATAGACACTTCCTTGAATTTAGTAGGCTACTAATTATTTACGAGTATTCTGCTAACGAGTATTAGCTATCAAATTAAATTGTGCTATTGCTGTCCGTCGTTTAGATAATTGAATCTATCCACTTAATTTGTTTGAAAAATTTCAGACAAATGTAAGATGCCCTCCCCAAAGGCCGTATTTCGTGGAAAACTCTGCAAGTTATCCAATAAAAAACGCTTTGCGTTGGGAAACGCTGATATAAACGACACACCTGTTTATTTAGACACATTCTCTGACCCCTCTGACATAGGTATACCTTAGGAGCGTATGACTACGATTTAGGCCTTTTATTTTAGACGAGTTTTCCAATGGAATAGTTTTTATGCATTAACCCTTTTGATGCAAGTGTTGAGCATGTTTTTTGATTGGTTATTTAACTACAGAGTGCCCATTTAAATTAATCCCCTCGGATATCAACTATACCGTTGATAGTACTGAAATGTATTGAGCAGTTACAGACACTGTAAGCACCCAAAGGGTTGACCCTAAATACGCCAATATTTCTATTGTATTTTGCCTGCATGTCCTATTCACTTTATAGTAGTTTACACGTTGCAATTTATAATTTTGTTTCTCTTATTTTAGATATGTCTGTCATAAATGCAAAACAAGGTTTTAGACATGTAGCTGTCGGTAAAGAGCAAGGACAAGTATGGGCGATTTCTGGTGCAGGAATACTTTGCCGTAGAATTGGAATCAGCGACGAGAATCCAGCTGGAACTGGTTGGGCGACTGGGATTGGGGTGAGTCGATTTAAATTATGTGTAAACAATATGTTGACGTTTGTCTAAACTTATGGTTACCTTTAACAGGCGAATTGGCAATACATAACCGTGGGAGGACTTGTAAATAGAGCGAAATAAACAATTCGTTTTTTTTAGATCAATGATGATTCCTGTAATAAATTACATGAAGTATTATTATATTATTATCTAGCAATGTGATACTCTAGCTTTCTATTCTCATAGGAAATTTTTTCACCGATATGAGAAGTATATGCATATACGTACGGGATAAATGTTTTCTATAATGTGTAAGACTTCGCTTTGCAGTTCACTCGACCTTATGGTGTAAGCTTGAATCGTGACAAATTCATGAAATGAAAACATTATCTATAACGTACAAATGATTATGCCAACTGTACATATAATTGTGTTTGCATTTGGTACAATTTTCATTTTGTTTTTGCTTTGTAAGAAGAAGTCACGCGAAACACAAAGTAACAGAATTATGAAAAGAAAATTACTATAAAATTTGTCCTTTATAATCATGCCACAAAATTTTGTACTTAACATAATTATTGTGACATTCCAAAGAAAACTTTTACATAAATAATAGTAATAGGGTAAAATATTTATTTTATTTTTTCATAATCATATTGATTCTACAAGATGCCTT